TCCATCTTTCTTTTTGTCCTGTACTGTCTTCTCACCCTTCACCATGGCCGATGGTGAAGGGCCGTGTGCCCCCTCTTCCTGAATGGGTAGACCCCACGCGGTTTTAGTTTGCATGGGAGCTGGTATTCGTTTTGGTGGGGGTTTCGGCTCCGCTGTAGGCGTGGTGGGGTTCGTTTGAAGCCTTTTGAGCCTTTCAGGGCATTTCAAGTTCCAGGCATGATGTGCCTTGGAACAATTTGGGCATTTTGCCTGAACAGGGTGGTTTGCCTTGAATTTATCAATACATGTTTTTGTATCATGGGGCTGGCTGCAGACTCCGCACCTCACTGGGCGTTGGCAGCCATCTTTGTGATGCCCAAATCTCTGACATCTAAAGCATCTTAGGGGTTCTGGGGTGTAAGGCCTGTGTTGGAACACACCCCAGATTCCAAGGTCAAGTTTCTCCGGGATCCGTCCTCTTACTGTGAGAAGGACTTGTCGAGTTTCCTGTTTTGTGGTTCGTACTTGGCATCTCTCTGCTGTCAGAGGTTGTAATAACTTCCGACATTAACCCAACAGTCGGTTCAACTCACCCTCCAAACTCTCATGTGTATATCCATTATATGTGAATAAATACTTACATATTTTAACTCTTTCCAGATTTTTCCGTTTACTTTTAATATAATAGGCTTCTGACTTGTACATTCAAACAGATTTGTCTTCAATAACCAATTCCATATGGTGACATAGGTCTCGGAATTTGTCCAACAACGTTTGAATATTTAGAATATATGCCCTGAAACAAATATCACCTGCATATAGGATTTTAGTTACCCTATAATTCAAACTTGATCAGAGAAGGATGATAAGGTTTTTGTTCATGATAAAATTAATCCCAGGAAATAGAATCCTTACATTTAATGAAAGATTAAATAATTTACGCTGTAGATAGTGGGTGACATGTTTGAAATATATTTTTTTTATTATAAATAAGGTTTTAAAAACGTAGCTTGAAAAATAGCACGAAGAAGCTATTAATTTTTTTTAAAGAAAGGAGATAGATAACTTGCGTCAAAATATCGGCCAATTAGCCTAACCATTTGCAAATTTGCTGATGATTCAATAATCGGGAGGGAAATAAACACGGGAAAAAACTCACTATCACTTCAAGGCGATCTAAATAGGGTTTTGAAATGGTCAAAAGATTGGCAGATGCAGTTTGATGCTGACAAGTGTAAGGTTTTGAGGCTGGGTAATGATGATAGCGTTACAAGATACGAGCTAGATGGGGTTGAGATTGCGAAGCCGGATTGCGAAAGGGATCTGGGAGTTATGTTTAGTAAGAATTTAAAACCAAAAGATCAATGCATGAATGTTCGTAATAAGGCAAATGGAACACTGGGATTTATTAATCGAAGCGTTAGTAACAAGACACCTGGTGTGGTTCTTCAGCTATATCTTGCTTATCTAAATGGTTAGGCCCCATTTAGATTATGCAGTTCAGTTTTGGTCGCTGTACTATAAAATTTATATAAATTTACTTGAACGTGTCCAGCGTAAGATGACAAAGTTAGTTCCCCAAGTTAGAAACCTGTCATATGCAGAAAGACTAACAAAGCTTAAATTGCATTTACTGGAAAGGCAGAGAGTTAGGGGTGACATGATAGAGGGTTACAAGTGGATGAATGGACATAACAAAGGAGATATTAATAGGGTTTTAAAAGTATCAACACAAGACAGAGTACGAAACAATGGGTATAAAGTTGACCAGACCACACACTATAAGTTGAAGGGACGACGACGTTTCGGTCCGTCCTGGACCATTCTCAAGTCAAGTCATTCTCAATCGACTTGAGAATGGTCCAGGACGGACCGAAACGTCGTCGTCCCTTCAACTTCTAGTGTGTGGTCTGGTCAACATACTTCAGCCACGTTATTGTGACTCATCGCCTGCAATGGGTATAAATTGGATAAGTTTAGATTTAGGAAAGACTTGGGTAAATACTGGTTCGGTAATAGGGTTGTTGATTAACTAGATTAATTAACAATACCACGAAAGGAGACAAAAGACATAATGGCAAGTTTGTACACATCAAGCTTACTGTGGTACGAACAGTGTAACGTGTGGGTACGAACAAACCTACTTCTCAGTTCTGTCTTTAAATGTATGCATGGTATTATACTGAAATATATAATTTTGATATTTTTACTCTTCGATTAAAAAAAAAGTATTTTGCTTCATTTAACTGATACGGTTTGATTTTATTTTCACAGTTAAATTGGAATGACACAGCGTCAGCATCAGAAGCAAGAGCTGTATATGGCACACATAAGGCTCCTCGTGGACTACGTTATTCAGTCTATAACATAAGAATTAAGTAAACGGCAGAAAGCTTATTGGCCCATACTAAGCAGGTCCTATTTATATCCACCCAAACTCATTCATGGATAAGTCATACCTATCTGGAGCATTTAGGTCAAACGGAGTTTGTGTTATGGAGGGGAAGGTCGAAATAGCCTAAGCTCCTTTTTTCCTGTCTCAATAAACATACTTGAATTTGTGTTATGGGTGACTAACTTCGGTCTAATAAACTAAACTAACAAAACAAGGTATACCGAAGTAGATTTGTTTTAGAAATACTGATGATTGATGACCAAAGCACTCATCAGAAAACAAAGAACCTGAACCATTATCAACACACGACGTGATAATGGTCCAGTACGGGCTGAAACGTTGTCGTATCGTCATCTTCTGATGTGTGTGGTTTGGTCATCATATCTTCAGCCACGTTGTTGTGACTCATCGTCTGGAACATATTACGGAGTCAACGCGAGAAAATAATATTTTAGGCTTAGTGTTAACTAACAGGGAGACACATACATAACATCGCAATAGGGAGTGTTATTTTGATATAATAATTTTGATATAGCGTAACGATCCTGCTCCTAAGATTTTCTCATATATATATATATATATATATATATATATATATATATATATATATATATATATATATATATATATATATATATATATGAGAAATATATATATATATTATATATATATATTTATATATATATATATATATATATATATATATATATATATATATATATATATATATTCAGTTGCATATTGTCCTGGGGACCATTCAGGCTTGTTCGCATATATATATATATATACATACATATATATATATGTCGTACCTAGTAGCCAGAATGCACTTCTCAGCCTACTATGCAAGGCCCGATTTGCCTAATAAGCCAAGTTTTCCTGAATTAATATATTTTCTCTATTTTTTTTCTTATGAAATGATAAAGCTGCCCATTTCATTATGTATGAGATCAATTTTTGTTTATTGGAGTTAAAATTAACGTAGACATATGACCGAACCTAACCAACCCTACCTAACCTAACCTAACCTATCTTTATAGGTTAGGTTAGGTTAGGTGGCAGAAAAAGTTAGGTTAGGTTAGGTTAGGTAGGTTAGGTAGTCGAAAAACAATTAATTCATGAAAACTTGGCTTATTAGGCAAATCGGGCCTTGAATAGTAGGCTGAGAAGTGCGTTCTGGCTACTAGGTACGACATATATATATATATATATATATATATATATATATATATATATATATATATATATATATATGTCGTACCTAGTAGCCAGAACGCACTTCTCAGCCTACTGTGCAAGGCCAAATTTGCATAATAAGCCAAGTTTTCATGAATTAATTGTTTTTCGACTACCTAACCTACCTAACCTAACCAAACCTAACCTTTTCGGCTACCTAACCTAACCTAACCTATAAAGATAGGTTAGGTTAGGTTAGGTAGGGTTGGTTAGGTTCGAGCATATATCTACGTTAATTTTAACTCCAATAAAATAAAATTGATCTCATACATAATGAAATAGGTAGCTTTATCATTTCATAAGAAAAAAGTTAGAGAAATTGTATTAATTCATGAAATCTTGGCTTATTAGGCAAATCGGGCCTTGCATAGTAGGCTGATAAGTGCATTCTGGCTACTAGGTACGACATATATATATATATATATATATATATATATACGCTGTTGAGATTTTATTGTGTATATGACGAGATAATTTGTTGAAGAACTACACACCAGTGTGTTCGGATAACATGAAAGTTCTGGATTGGGTATCGGCTCTGTCCTCCTAACTCCATGTAAGTTTAAGTGGTTTCAAGTCTATCAATATAATCTTTTAGTGATGAATACTTTTCCTCCCTTTTGAATAGGCTACAAATTTGCAGACTAGAATGAAGATTAAACCACATACATTATCAAGCTTGACTTGATAATGGTCCAGGACGGACCGAAACGTCGCCGCCTCCTCATCTTCTGGTGTGTGGTTTAGACTTCATATCTTGAGCCACGTTATTGGGACTCACCGTCTGCACTTACAGATAATAAATTTATTTGTTGGACTTGCACAGGACGGTCGTGCTTGGGCACTTTCTTTTCATGTGGACTTAATATTTTGTGATTATGAGTTCACTGTTATGTCTTAACAATGAATAGGATAATAGGATGTAACATGTAGATGTAACAATAAGAAAAGCCGAGAAGACAGCAGCATATGTGTTGATTCCTACCCATGAATACATGAATAAAATTAGCGACACTAAATTTCAACGAATCACGAGGAACCCTGTGGAAGATCTCAAACGCAAAGCGAACAAAACTGTTACTGCAGCGACGTAAAGAAAGGTAGTGTTCATTTTACTAAACTCCAGGGCGACAAAGGCTTAGGATATGCTTATGGCAATGTTAATCATTATGGATAATAGAATAATAATGAATAGTGAATAGGATAATGTCTTAACAAGGCGTTCACTATTGATTAGGACATATGATAAAAAATTAAAAACAGCATTTAAATATTTTATTACATTAAACAGTACAGTATAGATAAGTCTTCCCCTTTGCTCGCCTTGGACGACGCCCTTGGAGTCCTCCGGCTGTTGTTTGGTCACCTGTTGCTGGAAGTGTTCAACAGATTACACGATGTATTCCTCAGGCGTAAATGGAAAGTACTTGGAACGTGGTGAGCCGATCTCAGCAGCTGACGGCGGGAGGTACTTAGATCCGGATGATTCCTCAGGCATAGGTGGTAAATACTTGGAACGTAGCGAGTGTATCTCAGCAGCTGACGGCGGGAGGTACTTAGAGCTGGATGATTCCTCAGGTGGTAAATGCTTGGAACGTAGCGAGTGTATCTCAGCAGCTGACGGCGGGAGGTACTTAGAGCCGGACGATTCCTCAGGCATAGGTGGTAAATACTTGGAACGTATTGAGTGTATCTCAGCAGCTGACGGCGGGAGGTACTCAAAGCCGGGACGCTTCCTGCCCACAGCTGGCGGAGGCAAATGTCTGGAGAAGGACGAGGGAGTGATAGGAGCACTTGAAGACTTCTTGGCTGATGGGAACGGTATGAAGGACCGGCCTTCCGTCAACACTGATGCTGTGGGAGAGACGAGAATAATATATAATGGTTGATGATGGTCTAGTAATAGTTGAATAGGATAAATAGTAATGGTTGAATAGGATAAACTTATTAACAGCTGACGATAAATACTAATAAAGATTAGTAACTTATCTCAGCAGCTGACGGCGTATAATGTTTATGTATAATAAAAGTATTATTATTAATAAAGAGTAATAAAATCAGAGTGGGATAATGTTGTTAGTGGAGTGCCTCAAGAGAGAGACCCTAGCCATTTAGCTCTTATATAGCACTTGAAAGGGATATAGGAGCAAGGATCTTGGATATGACAGAGAAAGAATAGTCCTCAACCATCTGGGATCGAACGCTGACCTGCAAGAAGCACTTAAAAAGTAAACACTAAAATACAAATCTTGCCATCTATACCTTTGGGTACGAGAACGAAGGCAGGTGGGTCTGGCCTGCAGGCACCAAGCCCAACCACCACCAGCACGCACATTGCGATGAATGCCACCTTGGCCATCTTTGCTGATGATCGCGTGGTGCATCAGTGCTGTTCGTTGCATGTTATATAGTCTTGATTGGGCCCGCGCGACTAGGCGTCCACCCCACCCTCCCTGATTGACTGATTGAATACCAGGAAAACGAGCCACTAGGGACGCCGCACCGCAAAACTGACAAAAATAGTTTTTCTTCAAACTGCATCTCAAGTTTTTATTTAGAAGCTCGCAAGTTTCCCCAGGGAAGCAAGGCAATGTAGATTCGGATTTAATAGAATAAAAGTACTCACACACATGAGCTTAGATACATGGATACATTAAAAGGTTTAGATTTATAAAAAAAAAGGAAAAATATTGGTTTGGAAACGAGGTTGTTGATCCTCCAAAAATTATAGTACTTATAGTAACTATTGGTCGAACGTACAAAAAAGAACTGTTAACACCCCCCCCCCTCACATGTACAACAGATTCTATAATCCGCATTCTAGTTCTTCTAGCAAGACCTAAACCATTAAACCCATACTTTAGTATTCTACAATTTTAGACTGGTGTTCCTGGCTACCTATCTTCCCTGCAAGAGAAGTCTAAAATTGTGGAATACTTGATTCTGGGCTATATGGTTAGTCTTGCTAGAAGAACTAGAATGCGGGGTTATAGAAGCTCTGTATGTACGGAGTTCGTGCTTATCAAGTTCAAGTAAGTTTATTGAGATAATGAACTACATATCAAAAGGATAGAGTAACTTAGGCTATGTCTACCCTCGTCTATTTAAGGTCCCTCAAGGGGCTCACAAATCCATACAGTACACAAATATTAATCATATTTTATATTTCACATACCAATAGTAATCACATGGTGTACTGTGAGATCTCTTGTTATTTATGCTGCACCTGTCATTTGTTTTCGTGATTATTTATTGTTGATGCTTTAGTGTCTTACCGCTGCCACCACAAAAATTATCGTGTTGACGTTTTTATTTATCTTCTTGGATGAGCTTAATCCTAGTCATAAGAACATAAGAACAAAGGTAACTGCAGAAGGCCTATTGGCCCATACGAGGTAGCTCCTATTTATAACCACCCAATTCCACTCATATACTGTATACACTCATATACAATTAACATGAATCGAAAGCAATCGTTATAGATAGGAGCTGCCTCGTATGGGCCAACAGGCCTTCTGCAGTTACCTTGTTCTTATGTTCTTATGTCGTGGTACAGCTGACTAGAGTGCGTCTGGGAATACTCAGCGCATAGGGTCGAACCCTCATCACGGCCCTTGTGGATTTGTTAATTTGATATATCATGTTATTGTGATTTCTGGGTATATAAATATTGTTCTAATTATATAATAATATGTTGCCATAAACTGTCCTGTCTCATACAAAAACATTTAGTTTTCAGGGGGGAGCAGTCACCCCCTTTGCGTTACATTTATCCCCTGGTGGTGTTAATTGTTTCTTGGGTAATGAAATATCTTGCAAGACATATTTTTTAACATTATAAAGTTCTCGTAGATCCTCTTTTGAATTCCTTAAAATACATTGTTCACATCTTCCCATCATTTATACAGGTTTAATTCATTAGTTCCTTCACCTCTCATTAGACTAATCACGAAAGATGCATTTATCTCAAAAATGCCTATCCCCAGTACTCTGTAGTTCAAGTCTATCCTCATTATCTCAACCATAGCATTACCTGGGCATCCTAAGATTATACTCATGACTTCGTCTTGTACCTTCTCCAACTTGTTTAGTCTACCTTTACCAAAACAAGTGATGACAGATACAGCAAAATTAAAAGAGATCTCACAGTTCTCATGTACATCAAGCGTAGCACAAGAACTCCCACTCCCTTTCCACAATATGCCAAGGCTTTCATAGGTTGTAATATCTTCCGACATTGATCCAATGACTGTTCAACTCAGCTTCTCATGGATATATCCAATTCATTTTCAAATTCGAGTACGTTTATTGAGACAATAAAATACATCTCAGAAGGATAGAGTAGCTTAGGCTATTTAGTAACACCACCAGGGGATAAATGTAACGCAAAGGGGGTGACTGCTCCCCCCTGAAAACTAAATGTTTTTTTTTTAATCATTATCATAGCAATATGGAAGTTGTAGTGAAGGACCTGGTGACTCTAGTGGGAGCCCTGAGGACAGAGTTGGACTCTCTGCGGGAGGAGGTGCGTCAGCTTAAAAAACAACGAGAAGTAACGAAGGAGGAGACCAGCAGTAAAGGGACCTCGTCTTGGAGAGTTGCGAAAGACAGGGGCCTTAAGAAGACTTTGATAAAGCCGCCTTCAAACGCCATAGCAACTTCAAATTCATTTGACGTTTTGGAGGACGAGTGCTGTGGAGAGACTGTGGATCGCGCAAAAGGGAAAGCAACGAAGAGAAAGGAAGCGCAGGCCCCTCAGAAAGTAAAGGAAGTACCTAAGCAAACATTAGTTGTGGGAGATTCCCAGATAAGGTATTTGGATAGAACGTTTTGTGCTAGAGATAGGGGGAACAGGTTAAGGGTTTGCTATCCCGGAGCTGGCATTGGTGATATTATAAACAACATGAATGATATTATGGCTGGTAATGGGAACAATCCCATTATTTGCATTAGCGTGGGAGGAAATGATGTTGGTCGAGTCAGGAGTGAGGAACTGATTCAGAGGTATAAAACAGCCATAGAGTTAGTTAGGAGCAAGGGAGGAATCCCGATCATATGTGGCATTCTTCCAAGAAAGGGAGTGGGAAATGAATGGATATCGAGGGCACTTGGTGTCAATTGCCGGCTGGAAAGATACTGCAAATCAAATGCAATATCTTTCATTGACAACTGGGAACACTTCTATGGAAGAAATGAAATGTATGCTCGTGATGGGGTGCATCTATCGAGAGCTGGGGTTGTTGCTGTTGCGAACTCGCTAGAAGAAGTGGTTAGAGGTGTTTGTTTGGGTTTAAACTGTTAGTAGATAGAGGTATGGGAATTGATTTGGAGGAAGGAGGTAATAAAAGTATGTGTTTGTGGGAGAAAGGAATTGGCAAAACGATCAGGGAAAGAGAAGGTCCGCAAAATAACAATTCACTTAGGGTATATTACACTAACAGTAGAAGTCTAAGAAATAAAATTAACGAATTAAATGCTCTTGTCTGCACAGAAAAAATAGATATTATTGCACTTACCGAAACGTGGATGAATGTAGAAAATAGAGAACTATTAGCTGAATATCAAATATATGGATTTAAACTATTTCACACAGATAGATATATTAGACGAGGAGGTGGAGTAGCCATATATGTTAGGGACAATTTGAAATGTAGTCTCAAAGAGGGAATCAAAACAGAGCCACACACAGAAACTATTTGGATTGAATTAAACGAAAAAGCTAATAATATTATAATAGGAGTAATATATAGGCCACCAAATTTAGACAGAATGGAAGCAAAGCATCTATGGGATGAAATATCTAGAGCATCTAGATCTAACAGTATTTATGTCATGGGTGACTTTAATTTTAGCGGAATAAACTGGTTGAACAAAACAGGGAATAGTGAAGCAGAAGATTTTCTAGAATTAATTGACGATTGCTTTCTTACGCAACACATTAAGGAACCAACACGGGAAAATAATATTTTAGATTTAGTGTTAACTAACAGGGAAACGCAAATTAATGACATCGAAATAGGGAGTGAGCTAGGGAGCAGTGATCACAAAGAAATCAGATTTAGCATAGAATGGAATAGACCAGTAGGAGAAAATTCTGTTAAAGTGCCAGATTTTCGAAAAGCTGATTTTAATAGCCTAAGAAATTTTTTGGGTCAAATTGATTGGAAAGGCTTGGGTATGGGGTGTGGGCAGGTCTTGGAGCGAGACATGAACCCAGCGATAGGTGACTTAAATGGGGATTTCGATGTGGATTCAATATATAACTTATTTAAGAATATTCTAAACAAAGCACAGGAACGTAGTATACCATACAAATTGAATAGATCGTATACTAATGACCCAAAGTGGATAACAAAGAATTTGAAGAACCTTATAGGTAAAAAGAGAGCTTGGTACAAAAGGATTAAAAATGGGGAGGTCACTTTAGAACAGGAATTCGTACAACTGGTTAGAAATGTTAAAAAAGAGATAAGGAAAGCAAAAAGAAACTATGAAGTTCGCATAGCAGGGCAAGCAAAGACAAATCCTAAAGGGTTTTTTCAGTTATATCGTACTAAGACTAGGGAAAGGATAGGTCCATTAAAAACTGAGACAGGTCAAATAACAGATAGTGATGAAGAGATGAGTAGTATTTTTAATAAATATTTTGTATCTGTATTTACTAAAGAGGAACTTAACAATATGCCTTCAGCCGAACAAGTCTATGTGGGTGGGGACGAGGACAGGTTGACGAGTTTAGCAGTTACCAGGGAGGATGTTCTTAAACAAATAGTAAAACTCAAACCAAACAAATCCCCAGGGCCGGATGAAGTGTTTGCTAGGGTGCTTAAAGAATGCAAAGAGGAGCTTTGTGACCCACTGTCAACCATATTTAATAAATCAATAGAGTCAGGCAGAGTGCCAGAGTTTTGGAAAGTTGCTAATGTGATACCAGTTTTTAAGAAAGGAGATAGATCACTTGCGTCTAACTATCGACCAATTAGCCTAACGTCTATTGTGGGAAAGTTACTCGAATCTATAATAGCAAATAAAATTCGTCTTCATCTTGAAAAACATAAATTAATAATTGAGTCGCAACATGGTTTTATAAATGGCCGTTCATGTTTAACAAATTTGTTATCTTTTTATTCTAGCATTGTTGAGGCAGTTGATAGTGGTAAGGATTGCGATGTTGTATACCTTGACTTTAGCAAAGCTTTTGATACAGTGCCACATGAAAGACTGATTAAAAAAATAGAGTCTCATGGTATTGGGGGTGCTATATTAAGCTGGATTAGGGCATGGCTATACCAAAGGAAACAGAGAGTTAGTATAAATGGAATCAAGTCAGAGTGGGAAAATGTTGTAAGTGGAGTGCCT